CCACCACGCAGAGCAGTAAGAGGCTCAAGCGCGGCTGTTGACTCACTGACTGAGGCCCAGGACTGACCACAACTGGAAGTGGCTGAAGTGCCCCTATTTGGTCCTTCTCAGAGAGAAAGAAGGAGACTGTGTGGGGTTCCAGCAGCGGTGGCCAGAGACCACCTGCTAACTCACCCCTCCACTCTGGTGTTAGCACTGCTAGGTGAGGCCTGGGCCTGGCCCCAGGTGTGACATATGCCAGGTGAGCACTTCAGCCAGATCCACAGGGGTTCGGACATATTGACTTCTCCCGTGGCACCGACCGTTTTAACCCAAGCAGGCATTTATCCCCCTGCAAGTGAGTCATCGGTCCTCCCAATAGAAGGTCCGAATGTGTGGGTTTGTGGTTTGGTAAATGTGACCTGTGTCCATAAATCACATGTCTGACTTCTCAAAGACTGTCTACCGTTGCTGTCTACCGTTAAGCCACAGAACGATGAGCAATGTTCGGTGATTTCTTAGGCCAGCACCTTCTTCAAGAAGGTGGGGTTGGTTTTTGCAATCCCTAGAAAGGAGGTTTCTAAGCCACAAGCGTCACACAGATGGAGAAAGAAGGAAAGTCACATGTTTGGGTCAGTTCACACAGAGCAACGGGGAGACTGGGTATTGTTTTCTCTTTCTGGTTCCCATCTGGAAATCTAGTCCTCTATTCCTGCCCTGGTGGTGCAGTGGTTAAGAGCTTGGCTGCTAACCAAAAGGTTGGCAGTTCGAATCTACCAGCTGCTCCTTGGAAATCCTATGAGGCAGTTCTGCTCTGTCCTGCAGGGTCGCTGTGAGTTGGAATCACTCAGTGGCAATTCAGTGGCAATGGGTTTGGTTTTCTTTTTTTTTTTGGAATTCCTGCCTGAAGGGGCAGTGGTGGCTCAGTGGTCAAATTCTCGTCTTTCACGCAGGAGACCTGGGATCGATTCCCAACCAGGGTACGTTACGCACAGCTACCGCCTGTCAGTGGAGGCTTGCATGTTGCTATGGTGCTGAACAGGTTTCAGCAGAGCTTCCAGGCTATGATGAACTAGGAAGAAAGGCCTGGTGATCTACTTTCAAAAATCAACCAATGAAAACTGTTGATCACAGTGATCCTATCTGCAACTGAATGTGGGAATGGGGCAGGACCGGGCAGCATTTTGTCCCTTGTGTGTGGGGTCGCCATGAGTCAGGGGCTGCCTTGAGGGCAGCAAACAACAAGAGTAACAGCAGCACTCCTGCTTGAAGGCTTGCCAGGGTGCCACAGGGCCTTTGCTCAGACAATCCTGCCTGGGGGCTCGGAAACTGCGCTGGTGTGGGTATCGACAATCTGACGATTCCAGCCTCTGCTTGGGCAAGTTCCCTGCCTTCCTCAGCCTCCTCCTCCCCACCTGGGAAATGGGCTTCATGCAATAGGCCTTCCAGGAGAGTCACGTGGAGTGAGACGACCTCAGATCTGGCCATATTGCTTCCTATGAAGTATTGTGATTTCCACTGGGGTTTGCTTGAGCAGGTCATACTGCCCTCTGTTCCTGGTTGTAAAGTTAAGGAGCTGGGGTGGACCAGGGGATCGAAAACACCGCCCACAGTTGACATGCAGGTGTGCAACGGGTGTGTGTGTGTGTGTGTGTGTGTGTGTGTGTGTGTGCGTGCCTTATCAGTAGGGGCACTGCCATTCAGCGACAAGGAATTGGTGCCCTGTGTGTGTGGGGGGTGGGTGGGGTGGACAGGAACCAGAGGATAAACTCCGAGAGGACCAGGACTGTCCCTGTGTTGTGTTCACCGCTGTGTTCTCAGAGCTGACAACAGCGCCTGGCACAGAGGCTTGATAAGTATGTGCTAAATGAATGAACACAGGCAGTGTTGCTAGATCTTCAGAGCATTCAAGAGAAGCAGGAAATCTGGATTCTTATGTGGAATTTAAAGGAGCCCTGGTGGTGCAATGGTAAAGCACCTGGCTGGTAACTGAAAGGTTGGTGGTTCAAACCCACCCATAGGCTCTGGGAGAGAAAGACGTGGCGATCTGCTGCTGTAAAGATTACAGCCTAGGAAACCCCGTGGGGCAGTTCTACTCTGTCACAGGGGGTTGCTATGAGTTGGAATCGGGCAGATTAACCAGTGAGCAAAGTACGTACGGGCGTAATTGTGTTTACTTACTAATCTGTAGTGCACAATTTCACATGGCAAAAGATGGGTGAAAAACAGGTGAAACTGTGCACTACAGATTAGTAAGAAAGCACAAGTAAGCCTGTGTATACCTTGCTTATTGGGTCATCTTTACCTGGTTGGAATTGACTGCACCTACACGCAGTGTTTGTGGAATTTAAATACGGGCACCTAGTTCAACGCCATTTTTTAAGCACCATGTGGTGCAAATTACACACGGGGACTGGCTGGCCCTGCTTGCGGACCCAGATCCAGGCCAAGTGAGCTCCACTCTGCTCTCCAGGGAACCACACAGGGGAGGGGGCTGGAGCACTGATCAGCGGGTTATCACTGATGGCCTGTGAGGCTTTGGTGGTCCAGCCCCTGCCAGCCTCTCCCGAGCCCATCACCAGCCTCCAGGAATACTGGCCCCCTTTCCATTTCTGGAGTGAGTCGGGTCTTTGCTGCCATCCCATGAGGACCAGCCCTTCTGGTCAGCAGTACAGGCTGCTCATTCTCTTCCCCCAAGTATCTCGGGGTCTGGTCACTTCCGTCTGCCCCCATTCCATGAAGACTGACCTTGGCACCTGGCCCACATACTCTTTCCTCCCGAGGTCCTACAGCGCCCTGTGTGCCTGTGGGGCCCCACTGGGCAGCCCATCCTCCCCATTTCCAATCAGTTCCTTGACCTTCTCCCCACTCTACTCCAGCCACCCAATACCATGCCACACTTGGTCCTTGTCATCTCCTGGGATGGTTCAAACACTTCTACTCTGGCTAATCTATCTTTCTTGCTCTCTCACCTAGGAGCTCCCACTCCATCTGTTCTCTACCTGTATCTATGTCACTCGCCTTCCCCCACTTCCTGTGTTCCCATAGTCTGATGGAAATCTCCAACTCCCCTGAACGATGACCATCCACCTCCCTCCTGCAAAACCCCAACTCCAGAGCAATTTGACTGCCTTCTTCGGGCCTCCTGAGCATGGCTAGAATAAATTCACCCAAAAGTTCATAGTTTCTAGCTTCAGCTGGGCCCTCAGAGCCGCCTGACACACCTGGAAGCTTCCCTCATGAGCTGTCCCTGCCGTTGACCAACACAGATCATCCCCACATCTTCATTCTCCTCAAACCTCAAATCCCTCCATGTCCTGCCTTCTCTGAGCAGGTGACTCAGCTCGTGCTTCCCCTTCCTTCAACCTTCTCCTTTTAACCTGCAAACCTACTTGCCTTTGGGTCTAGTTAGTTTCTTCTGCCTGAAATGCTCATTTCCCCTATTTTGCTTGGAGAACTTGTTGTTTTTTGGGATTCATCTTATACATCTTCCTCCGGGAGCCCGTCTCTAACTGTCTCCTCCCCAGAGTGGCTGGGTGCCCCTTCTCTGTGCCCTCATAGCACCCTTTTCTCCCGCTGATGATAGTGGTTATCACACTCTACTCACAGCCCCCCAATTATTATCTATGTTGCCATTAAGTGGGAAGCTCTTTGAAGGCAGGGTCACCTTCATGCTCACCACTGTATCCCTAGGAGCTGCAGGTGCTGACCCAGTGAATGTTCAATGAATGTTCTTTCGTGAGTAACTCATATTCTTCTAACTGTGTGTTTGGTTACGTCTCCACTAGCCCTCCCTCCCTATCTCCACATATCCACATTTTACCCTTTGTTACAACTCAGCTCAGAGTTCACTACCTTCACAAAATCTTCTCTGATAACCCTAGAATGAACTGACCCCTGTCCCTCGGAATGCTCAAGGTACTGATGTATATGTAGTGGGCTCATGCTATTTCTCATTTTCTATATTATATTATGTTATGTTATATTGAAATTATATTTTATTTATATATTTATATTATTATAATAAGTATGTTATATATATATATATATATACATATATATATATACCAGTGAAAACCATTGCCGTCGAGTCAATTCCGACTCATAGTGACCCTACAGAACAGAGTAGAACTAACCCATAGGGTTTCCAAAGAGTGGCTGGTGGATTCAAACTGCTGACCTTTTGGTTAGCAGCTGAGCTCTTAACTACTGTGCCACCAGGGCTCTGGTAGTGCAGTGGTTAAAAGTGCTTGGTTGCTAACCAATAGATCAGTGGTTGGAACCCACCAGATGCTCTGTGGAGAAAGATGTGGCAGTCTGCTTCTGTAAAGACCACAGCCTTGGAAACCCTATGGGGCAGTTCTACTCTATCTTATAGAGTTGCTATGAGTTGGAATCAACTTGACGGCGATGGGTTTGGTTTCGGTTTTGGGTATATATATATATATATATATATATATTAGGTCTATGTAAGTTCCTTGTGGATAGGATCTCTAGGCTTATCCTCTCTGTATTCTTAGCAGTTAGCCTGACATTTTTTGAATGGATAAATGGAAATGTAATAATAGAGCTTTGCTGGTACTAGTTTCCTATTGCCACTGTAACAAATTACCACAAACTTGGCTTCAAACAACAGAAATTTAGTCTCTTACAGTTCTGGAGGCCAGAAGTCTAAAATTAGTGTCAGTGGGTTAAAGTGAGACTCAGCAGGGCTGTGTTCCTCTGGAGGCACTACAGGAGAACCTGCTTCCTTTTCCAGCTTCTGCTTACATTCCCTGGTTTGTGATCCCTTCCTCACACCCCTCCGACCTCTCACGTCCATCATCACATCTCCTATTTGTGTAGTCAAATCTCCCTCTTCTCATACAAAGGCTCTGTGATTATCTGAATAATCCAGGATAATCTCCTCATCTCAGGATCCTTAATTTCACCACATCTGCAAAGTCCCCTTGGCCATTAAAGATACCATTCACAGTATCCAGGATGTAGGTCTCTTTGGGGGTCATCGTTCAGCTGACCACAGTACTATTTATTGTGTAGAAATAATGTATAAGGACACTAAGCTTCTTGATTCACTGTTATTTTAATTCCGCCAGAAAAGTTGGAGGATCTCTTTCCTATGGGTCGGGGACATGGGAGCTGCACTTCCAGGGGTACACCACTTATAAAGCTCCCATACCTTGGTCCGGAAAAGCCGGCCCATGAAGACATAAATCACTGGATTCAGGCAGCTGTTGATGAAAGCAAAGAAGTTGGCATACTGCAGGCCCAGGTCCGAGAAGTCCTCCCAGAAGCAGCCATGGAGGACCTGCACCCGGAACAGGAAGTCCAGGAAGGCAAAGAAGTGGTAAGGGGTCCAGCACACCAGGAATGTGATGACGAGCGTGAGGATCAGCGCTGTGGTCTTGCTGTTCATGGGCTCCCCGCGCCTCATCCTGTGTACCTCCGCCCGTCTGCGCAGGGAGGCCAGGATGTGGTAGTTGAAGAAGACAATAGCAGCCAGTGGCAGGAGGAAACCCAGCACGTTCAACTCCACCATCCTCGCAACGTGCCAGGCCCACGTCTCATGGGGGAACTGCAGCACACAGGCCGAGATGTTCAGATCGGGGATGTCATTGACGGTTCGCAGCAAGAATGTGGGGACACTTAAGAGTACTCCCACTGCCCAGATGAGGGCACAGGTGGCCTGGGCCTGTAGTCGCCGCCTCCTCCTCCAGCTGGCCAGGGGGTACACCAGCACATGGTAGCGGTCCTGGCTGATGGCCACCATCAGGAAGATGCTGATGAACAAGTTGGCCTTGATGACCCCGTTGACCACGCGGCAGAGAACGACCCCAAAAGGCCAGTTGAACTCATTCCAGATGTTCTCTGCCCAGAATGGCAAGCCCAGGACAAACACCAGGTCAGAAGCCGCCAGGTTGGCCAGGTAGATTTCCGCCACGTTCAGACGCCGCCGGGGCAGGAGGAAGACGGACAGGACAAAGAAGTTTCCCAAGAGGCCGAAGAAGCAGATGGTGATGATGAGTGTTGGCCCCACCCTGTGCAGCAAGTCCCAGGCTCCCTGTGCATTTTCACAAGACGTGGTGTTTGGAGGGAACAGCTGACTCTGGTTGGGGAATGGGAACTCCAGAAGGGACTGGGATGCCATCCACAGTGACCTGAAATGAACAGCACACAGTGTAAATCAGGAGTCGATAAACTGTGGCACAAGGGCCAAATCCGGTCCACTGCCTACTTTTGTAAATAAAGTTTTATTGAAACACAGCTGCACCCATTCGTTTACATATTGTCTATGGCTTCTTTTGATGTTCCTGGGTGGTGCAAATGATTAATGTGCTTGGCTGCTAATCAAAAGATTGGAGGTTGGAGTCCACCCAGAGGTGCTTCAGAGAAAAGGCCTGGCAATCTACTTCTGAAAAATCAGCCATTGAAAACTCTACGGAGCACAGTTCTACTCTGACACACATGAGGTTGCCATGAGTCAGACTCGACTGGATGGCAACTGGTTTATGGCTGCTTTTGTGCTACTATGGCAGAGCTGAGGAGGTGCGATAGAGATAGTCTGGCCAGCAAAGCTGAAAATACTTACCATATGACCCTTTACAGAAAGTTTGCTGACCCTTGGTATAAAGGAAAGAATCAAAGCTTTGAAACCTGAGTTCAAATCCTAGCACAGCCACTTGCTGTGGGCTACTTAGACTCATTGATGTTTACTCTCCTTTTTGTAGGATTGTGGTGAGGACTGGTGATATTACCTTTGAGTGCTTAGTATGATGCCTGGCATAGAGGAAGTGCCCAATGGAAGGTTGCAATTAGTCTTATTAACAGTTTAACAAATATTTAATGAGCACTTCCTTTGTGCCAGCGCTTTGCCAGGTGCTGGAGCTACATGGTGAGTGAGACAAACCAGCCCCTGTCCTCATGGTACTTACAGTCTGGATGGGAGATAGATATGCAACAGTGGTCGATGACCTGAGCTGGATTCACACATGGTGACCCCATGCACAGCAGAATGCAATGTTGCCCTGTCCTGCACCTTCCCCATGATCAGTTGCAAACTGGACCATTGGGACCCATAGGGTTTTTCATTGGCTGATTTTTGGAAGTAGATTGCCAAGCCTTTCTTCCTGGTTTGGAAGCTCTACTGAAACCTGTTCAGCATCATAGTAACACACAAGCCTCCACTGACGGATAGGTGGTGGCTGCACATGAGGTGTAATTGTTGGGAATTGAACCCAGGTCTCCTGCATGGAAGGCGAGAATTCTACCACTGAACCACCAGTGCCCAGAGTGCCCATGGAAATGCCTTTTCTGCTCTTCTCAAGCTGTGGAACAATTCAGGGATTAACTGGGACTTGCCTTACTAGGAAAGTAAGGCACTAAATTCCAGAAGACTGAGTTCCAAGAGATCTCGGTTCCTAGCAATGAGATTCCCATCTGCCTCCAGCCTTGAAGCCTTTACCACAGGGAGGCTTAAGAAGGAATAAGAAAAGAGAGAAGGGAATTCCTTTTGGAGAATTTGGGAGACCAAGTGTGGTGTGTTTTGCTCCCCTCCCTTTCCTCCTCCAGGCGAACGTCCCTTGAAATCTGGAGGTGTCCTTGAACATACAGGGGGAGGTCCATGTCTCTCCTGGTGATTTCTGACCATGGGGGTTTGCTGAAGTGTGGGTGTCTGGGCAGGCAAAGATGGCTCTTGTGGGGGTGGTGGAAGGGGCCTTGGTTCCTGTGTCCTCATGAGGGGGCACAAGGTTAGTCAAGAGGCAGGAGCTGCCGGGTGGCTCAGGCACCTGCCATGCCAAAGGATGGCTGTGCCCCAGGAAGTGGGGCTGAAGGGAGCTGTGGTCAGCAGAATAATGGCTCCCAAAGACAACCACATCCTAATCCCAGAATCTCTGAATATGTTACTTTACATAGCAAAAGGAACTTCACAGATGTGATGAAGTTAAAGATCTTGAGATGGTGAGATTATCCTCCATCATCCAGATGGACCCAATGTAATCACAAGGGTGAAAGAAGGAGGCAGAAAGGGCAGAGTCAGAGAGAGATTTGAAGATGCTACACTGCTGACTTGAAAGATGGAGGGGGCCACAAGTCAAGGAATGCGGGCAGCCTCTAGAAGCTGGAGAAGGCAAGGGAGTGGATTCTTCCCTAGAGCCTTTAGAGAAATGTAGCCCTGCCGACATCCTGATGTTAGCCCACTGACACTGATTTTGCACTTCTGATCTCCAGAGCTGTAAGGCAATAGATTTGGGCTGTTTTAAGCCGCTTAGTTCGTGGTAATTTGTTACAGCAGCAACAGGAAACTAATACAGGAGGTGAGGTTGCACACTGCCCAGGAAACCAGGGACCGTCCCTATGCCACGGGCAGAGACGTCTGACTTCAGCCCAAACCTGATTGGTTCTGTGGACACCACCCTCCATCCCATAGGACCTGGCAGCCACAGCACACGTCTGCACTCACCGGGTTTATTTTTAAAAGGATTGTCTTCACCAGCTGCTGCTTGGGTTTATAAAGCTGACCAGAGCGGAGAAAGTTTCCTTCTCCAGTTCTTATCTTCACTCTGACATTTGCATGGCATATAGTAGGTGCTCAATACCCAAAACAGAAACCAAACCTGTTGTCATTGAGTCGATTCCAACCCACAGTGATACCGTAGGACAGAGTAGAACTGACCTGTAGGGCCTCCAAGGCTGTAAATCTTTACTGAAGCAGACTGCCACATCTTTCTCCCTCTGAGCTGCTGGTGGGTTGAAACCATTGACCTTTTGGTCAGCAACTGAGCGCTTTAACCACTGTGCCACCAGGGCTCCTTAGGAGCTCCCTAAGCAGCAGCTATTGCTATCATTAGCAATGCTTGATGCTCTTTGAAAAGCCCAGAGGGGACATTGGGCAAGTCTACGAGAGACAATGGTTTTGTAATTTCTAGCTGATATTTTCTGAATTCTGCACATTTTGACATTGGCATATGCTATTCAGTGGCGCCCTGGTGGTGAAGTGGATAAGAGCTCAGGCTGCTAACCAAAAGGTTGGCAGTTGGAATCCACCAGCTACTCCCTTGGAAACCCTATAGGGCAGGTCTACTCTGTCCTATAGGGTCGCTACGAGTTGGAATCGATTCGACAACACACAACATTGAGGGGAGAGCATGACCTTCTTCAACAAATTAACCTTCTTCAAATGAGCTCCGCTTTTCTCAGTGGGGTGATGATAAAGGTATTTGAAATATTGACGCAGATGTTAAAGAACATCAACACAGTAGCATGAGATGCTATTTTCAAGCCACAAATAATGCAACCAGGTATTGACCTTGTGAAATCTTGTCAACAACACTTGGAGACTACTCTGATTTTTATAACACATGGACTGTAACCAGTCACCGTCCAAGCAAGGCTCTGGTGGCTGTATTCAGCCCTGACATGTTCAGATAACCTTCATGGAAAGAGCTCTGCAGCCTTCACAGGCTGTTCCAAACGCTCTCCCTCCTTCCAGAAAAGCAATTAAAACTCAAGCGAAGCATGCAGTCAGTCTCTTAAATGGAACTGGAATTATTTTCAATACAACACACACTTGCAGACCACTCTGACAGGGATCACAATAGAGGGTCCAGGACAGAGCGAGAGAAAAATGTAAAACAAAATTCAAATTCACAAAACAAGACCAGACTTACTGATCTGACAGAAACTGGAGACTGTGGCTCCCAGACACCCTGCTCAGTACTGAAGCCACTCCTGAAGTCCACCTTTCAGACAAAGTTAAAAAAAAAAAAAAGAAAAAAAAACCAAACCCATTGCTGTTGAGTCGATTCCTACTCATAGCGACCCTATAGGACAGAGTAGAACTGCCCCACAGGGTTTCCAAGGAGCGGCTGACGGATTCGAACTGCCAACCTTTCAGTTAGCAGTCAAATGCTTAATCACTGGGCCATCAGGGCTCCAGACAAAGATTAGACAGGCCTATAAAACCAAAAATAGCACACTTGAGGAATGCACTTCTTAGTTTAATCAAGTATAAGAGACCAAAAGGGCAACAATTGTCCAAAAGCAAAGACGAGAAGGCAGGTAGGGACAGGAAAACTGGACGAATGGACATGGGGAAGCAGGGGTGGAAAGGGGGAGAGTGCTGACATATTGTGAGGATTGCAACCAATGCCACAAAACAGTTTGTGTATACATTTTTGAATGAGCACCTAATTTGTGCTGTCAACTTTCACCTAAAGCACAATAAAATAATAATAAAAAAATACAGTTGCAGAGGAAAACACACAATTCTGCCAATATATAAGTGTAAAAGGAAGCTTTCTATTCTTTCTTTTCTTTAAGAGACACAGATCTCTTATCCTTTACTATCATAAGAGAAAAAGATGGTCATTCACTTACTCGGACAGAACATGAAACAGCTCGCAACTTCAGCTGGATTTTCTGGAGGCAGGAGCTGCCGTTAGAGGTGTTTTCGGTTCCGGGAAGCCCTCTGGGGTGGTGGTGGCAGCCTTAAATTACATTACCTCCATGCCAGTGATGTCATTGGAGGGACTGCAGCAAAAATGAGTTGTTTCAAGGCGGTGGAAGCAGGCTGGAATTTTGAAAGGAAAACTGCTTCACATTTCGGGGGTGGTAAGAAGTTAGTCAGCTCCCGTCTCCCTCCTTATCTTGGTGACATCTGGGGAGGCCTGTGACCCAGTCCAAGCCTTGAATATTGACGTAGGTGCACTAACAGCACATGTTGGCCCCGCTGAGTCCCCGCAGCCCTCACTGTGCCGCAGCATACATTGAACGATGAATTTTCTCTGTTCACAATTGGCTCCTGAAGGCTGAGGCTTGGCAGAAGCTTCCCTGGGCCCTGACTCGAACATTCTGTTTTGAATTTTAATCATGGAGGATAGACACGTTGCCAAGAAACCATGAGTGTGGACCCCATTATGTAAACAACGAGCTAGGAAGAACTTGACTCATGCAATGTCCACAGTTGGGTAAGATCAGATGGACTTTTCCCTAACCTTTCCTGGTGGTTCTAAAATCCTTTTTAATGTAGGGCTGCACGTATCTAATTGAACTACTCAAGAGCTCATCGTTCAGACGATGTCTCAGCTTCCTAGTGCCGCAGTAATAAGAGATTCCATAAGTGGGGGGCTCCAAAGAACAGAAATGTAT